CCCCCCCCCCCGTCCTCTCTACCCCCATTGTCCTCTTTACCCCCATCTTATTCTTTCTAACCTTTTTTATCCTACCTAACCTCACATTATCCTTCCTATTTCCCTTCTTTTCCATCTTACCCTTCCCTTATTATCCTGCCCTCCCTTAAATCCATTCTACCCCTGTCTGAAATCCTTCCTACCCCTCCTTTATCCTTCCTACCCATCCCTTATCTTTCCTACCCCTCACGATCCTACACCTTTCCTATCCTTTCTACCCCTCCCTTATCCTTCCTATACCTTTCTTGTCCTTTCTACCCCTCCTTTATCCTTCCTACCCCTCCTTAATCCTTCCTACCCCTCCTTAATCCTTCCTACCCATCCCTTATCTTTCCTACCCCTCACGATCCTATACCTTTCTTGTCCTTTCTACCCCTCCCTTATCCTTCCTATACCTTTCTTGTCCATTCTGTCCCTCCCATATCCTTCCTATACCTTTCTTGTCCATTCTGCCCCTCCCTTATCCTTCCTTTACCTTTAGTTTGTCCTTTCTACCCCTTCCTTATCCTTCCTATACCTTTCTTGTCCTTTCTACCAATCCCTTATCCTTCCTATACATTTTTTGTCCTTTCTACCCCTCCCTTATCCTTCCTATTCCTTTCTTGTCCATTCTGCCCCTCCCTTATCCTTCCTCTACCTTTCTTGTCCTTTCTACCCCTCCCTTATCCTTCCTATACCTTTCTTGTCCTTTCTACCCATCCCTTATACTTCCTACCCCTCCCATTCCGTCCTATCCCTCCCGAATCCTTCCTACCCCACTCTTATCCTTCCTATATTCAACCTTTTTCTTCCAACACCTCTCATATCCTTATTGCCCCTTCCTTTTCCTTCCTACACCTTTCATATCCTTCAACAGCTCTCTAAGGTTGAATTCCCTGCTCCCTCTGAATAATGCAGACTTAGATTTGTACTTTCTGTACTCAAATTAAGTCGATATTATATATATGATCTATTAATTAAAGATACAACCAAAGAAACACTAAACCAGAAAAAATTTCCTTTATCCAAGATCCCCAATATATTTAATGTTACAAAAGTAATTGCTAAATAAACAACTTTTTAACTCCCAACTTTGTCTAAACATTAAAGAAAGTAAATAGAGAAAAAAATTGTTTCCAACGACTCTACGTAGTTATGGGATTGGAACTCTACGCAGCGCTCAGCTGATAGTACATGACACAAAAACAAGTCAAAATATCAACGATTGTCCACATTTTGGCCGAAACTTCATAAAAACACTTTTATGAAATATTAAAATTTCAGAAACACTTTTCTTGAATTTTTCGAAATTTTCCACCACAAAATGAGATTTACGCAAAACTGTTCAAAAATTACCTGCGTCGCGTCAGAATACGGTGTCTTGGATGTTGGGTCGACTTGCATAGATCTGTTAACTTCTGCGGAGGTCATCATTTTAAATGTTTTTTTATTGATGAGGCTACAGGCTTAAATTCTAGTAGATACAACGACTCAAAGAACAGATGGTAGATTATTTTTAAAGTTTTTTTTTCTTAATTATATCACAAGTGATATCGGAGCTATTGGTTTGTTCTATAGTCTTGTGTAAAGCTAGGATGAGTTTGAAATTATTTTGCTATATCCTATCTTCCTGGTGTTCATGATGAAACTGTCGAAATATAAGCGTAATCAGCTGATCGGTCGGGCCGGCCTGGGCCCAAGTGCCGGACCGAGAGGCCCATTCTGCACCGTCTCCCGTCCCGTGCCAGCCCTCGGGCCTCCCGCCTTCCCTGCCCGAGCCCTATTTGACCCGGTTCGACACTAGCAAAACAAAGTTGGATCTGAGTATAAAAACAGGCAAAAACTTGATTGAGAACTAGGAATGAGGTTGAAAAAGTTTCTTTTTTATTATTAATGAAAGAACATTTTTAGAACAATATTTTTTCCTTTGCTGTGGAAAATTCCCATTTTCAAGTTAGCAGGGGCATATAGTGCAGAGGTTTAGCTTGGGGGGGGACTTTTGGCGCCCGTAAACGCGGTGAATTTTTGTTTGCACCCCCCTAACGGTTGATGTTTAACCCCCCAATACAACTCATACAACCGTATTAAAAAAAAAATTAAAGTTCAAAATCTTTAATTAAACTACCTTTAGGACCCTTATGTCAACTTGCAACATAATTACCATATCAAATGTCTATAGTACATATAGTTAAAAAAGAGCAAAAAATACTTTTAAAAATATTTTTTTTATTCTATTAAGTGTTGAGATCATATCAATTATATTATGAATAGATTATTAAATGACTATATTACCGTGGAGACATTATTTAAAGCATTTTAACGAGACCTAAATCTGTACTATATTGCGCTTTGTGAGAGAATATTGATGTCCCAAAACATTGTTGATAAAAAAATGTTCTCAAATATCCCTATATAATATTCATAGAGAATAGAATATATAGAGAGGAATTAAAAGAATCTCTCGGTATGAACTTTTTCAGTCCCTTTCAGCCTGAATTAGGGAGTTCAAAGTGTACAAATCATGTAAATGTTCACAAATTATATGCAGTAGAGTACATTAATACAGTATGTTCTCTAGACTATCCATTTCAATTTCGAAATTTTTAAACTGCGAAATAAACTTTATAATGAATTAGGTGAATAAAAACATCATTTGATGTATAGTTATAACGGAAAATCATCGTTTGTAAAGTGGAAGGCATAAAGTCTATGTGAAATGATCATTGGTCAATTATGAAACCAGCCTATTTCATAATTTGGTTTTCTTTTAACAACAATTTTAGATTTTCTATAAAATGATATTCCAGGGCCCAACAGGTTATATAGCATAAATATGTGAAGTTCACCTGCAGTATGGAAACAGTAAAACAAAATGGCCGTTTTACACTTTTTTCTAGTAAATTCCTCTCTATATATTCTATTTTCTATGATAATATTCCGTTCCCTATATAAATATTCCATAACCACTGAATAGGCCCAGTGGGTGGTGTTTGCACCTACATTATACATTGATGATGTTAAGATTTGTTTAATCCAAGGGTTAAGAACTTAGAATAATACAAAATAAGAGAATTTTTGGTAAAAAGTTAAAAAATCATAAGCTAGCTGTTTACAACCGTTAAAAACAGGTTTAAAAAATGGTACTTTAAAGCTGATACGGTCTTAGAATTAACAAAAATAATTAAAAGCTTTAATAATACTTTATTAAAATTAAAGAATTCGAGGTTTATTTTGAACAAATTGTTTCCAGGTAATTCTTCATTAGAAACCTGGTAAAGAATATGTCAGAGGGCATATGCATCCTGGCCAGGTTGCATAGCTTCCCGCTCCCAATGGTTGATCTCAGCCAGGTCATCAGCCGGTGGAGTGTGCTGAATGACCGTCAGGCCTCAAAGCTGAAAACCCCACGAAAAAAAATTGTAAATAAGATTAAGAAAATAAAACACAAATATGACATTGTCAATTGATAAGAAAAGAATATATATGTAAGTTTCATATATTAGGGCCTGCCTCTTCATGCTTACACATAGAACCAGATTCAATCTAAAGAATTAATGTCTTTCCGATGAGTTCAGATACTTAATAACAGCTAACCAGGCTTGTTATTAAGGAGTAAATTTAAGGCTGCCAGTAGCAAAATCTGGACCCAGCTAGGTAAAAAAACCTTCATTCTCCAGGTTAATACAGCGCTAAAAGATTAATGCAGGCCTTCATTGGTTCTTATAGTTTATTTCTTTTCCATATGTGTGCAGGGGGTATACATACACCCCTTGCTAAAGTTTCTCTTGGTAAATTAGAAAAAATAGATATAATCGATTCTATATAGTCATTAAAATATATTTATTGCCCCCTCCCCTTCTCCCCATCATATGGCCCTCCTACCGACTCGCCCAGGTCAACAAGGGTTAATGATATTTCCACTGTTTATCCTTCCTGCCCAATTCCCATTATTTGAACCTCCCATCCCTCCCACACCCATCTGGAACCATCCTTCTCCTACCATTTTCTTTACTTCAAATTTTCAGTCCTGCCAAGTATTAAAATACGCAAATAAGGCGAGGTGGCGTGGTCAGGAATTTGCCTGGGGGGGGGGGCTTAATTTTTTTCCAGGCGGGGGGGGGGCTTAGCACCTGGTAGGATCTGAAAACCCCTTAAAATCCTTAGATTTCACTGGTCTAGGGAGAGTCTGAGCCCCCATAGTCCCCCCTGGGTAGCTTCGATTCAAATGAGACAGTGCAGTATATAGCCGGATGGTTATATGAAGACTAAAGATTAAAATTGGAAAATTATACAGTGGTAATGGTTAATAATTTCATATATTTTTTTAGAGCAAGTAAACAGACGAAGTTTCCAAAAAAAATTACTGGTAGATCTAATTTTATGCCATGCAAATTGCAAATTGCAATTAAAATGAATCAATACAAAAGTATATTCGCTAATCGTGTTCCCACAAAAAATTTATCCGTTTGGAGCAAACTTTGACCAATAGGAGATATTTTATGTAATTATGGTAACTGACAAGAGCACGTCAAATCTTGTAAACTTGTAATTTGAAAAAAGCTTGTTAACATTGAAAACTTAAATGAAAAGTCGTCTTCATTGTATTGGTATAATCGCTTACTACTGCATCTGAAAAATATTTACTTCTAAATAGAGTTGTCTGAATCTTTTGTTTAATATTTATATTTTTAATATTTATATTTTTAATAATGAATCTTATTAAAAGACATCGTCTTTAGTATCAGGGGAGTATACATGGGGCTAAGCTAATACTTTATGGTTCTCAAGGTATGACAGGCGTACAATCACATAATTAATGTGATATAATCTCCTGAGAACTGTCTGTACATATGGACTTTGCCACGCTTTACTTATGTTTTCGTATATTTTTTTATTCACTAATTAGCTTAAATTCACTAATTTCTTGAATTCACTATTGTCCTTGAATTCACCAATCACAAAAAGTTCAGAAAGTAATTAAATTCATTAATTTCCTGGAATTCACCAATCATTTCTTATTTCAAAATTAGGATTAAAAAATAAATTAAATTAAAGAGACTGTCACCATACTACTAGATTAAACTGAATTAAAGAGACTGTCACCGTACTACTAGATTAAACTTAGAATCAGCAATGTACCTAAAACCGTTATTTGTATATCAAGATAAAAATATCTTTGTTTTTAAATCGAATAATTTGATTAAAATGAAAGGTTTAAAGTGTACTGCAGTGCATCAATGATTAAAATATCACATAAAACTATATAGTAACAATTGCTTTACATACTTAAATGAAAATTTCTAATTTAACTCAAAGTTTAGATTCTAAACCAAATTACTTCAATTATTCAAATTACTCTATTTTCTATTAAGTGCATGAAAAAAGTTTCCAAATTTAGATGCCATTCAAATTGTATAAATGAACAGTTGAACAATGCAACGTTTTCTATTATTTTTGTATGGTCTTTAGAAATGCTAAACGTTGCGTTGCATTTAGTTACATTTTCCACAGGGGAATATTTATTTTTAAACTTTGAAAATTGTTTATGTTAACTTTCTTGAGTGATTGATTGAAGTTTAGACCAAAGTATGAAAGTATCGAAAATCTCTTCCCCCTTCTTGAAATTAGAGATCCCTGAGTTGGAAGGTTTACAAGTTTGAAGGGCATTTTAAATTTAGATAACAAGTTGATTTATCATATAAATAAATTAATGCTATTTATGCTTTTTTGTTTGATAAATATCTACAGTTTTTAAGAAAAACTTTTACATATGTTAATTTATTTAGGGCTAATCAGTAGATATTTCTAGATGCAACAACGTTGTATTTGAAAATTTGTTGAGGTTATAATAAAATTTATGATCGCCTGATATTTGTTAATTAAAAGTTTTTAATTGAATATTTAGAAATTATAGAAGAGTTGGTTGACCTGGAAAACATAATTATACATTTAGATTATAGTTTCTAAACCCCTCAAGGTTTCTGGTAATTCATTGAACATTTTTTTATGTGAATATTAAAATATGAACACTTGAGTGTTTTTTTCTTTCAAATTATAGACTTGAGTTTTACCACTTTTTCAATTAAAAAATTTGAAGGAAAGGAATTGAGTTTATGCCACAAACTCAAATCTTCTAATCCCTAATTCTTTGCAACCTGATGTTGTAAACATTTTATGTTTCAAACTTAGATATTTGATATGACAGCATTCATAGTTTGACATGTCTAAGGTCTACGACATTAGGATTATAAAATCAGAGTTTGTGGCAAAGACTCAAATCCTTTGAAGAAAAAAAATTAAATCTTATGCTCAGGATGTTTTTAAGGGAAAATTTAAAAAAAAGATAATATTTTTAGAGCTACAGGAAAAAGTCCTCAATCGTTGATTTTGAACGCACTTCATATTAGACCGAGAACGGGTCTAAATTACTATTTTCGGGACTAATTAGAACATTTCATTAGAATGAATCACTTTGAAAAATAACATAAGGCTTATATAAGAATTCTCTTGCGGAAAATGATAAGTTTTTCGAGTATTAATGGTTTATTTTGGTGTTAAAGATTGGAGGCAATCTAATATGATATGGGACGCTCTGTATATTCTCAACAAGTATATGCGAATACGCACGTTTGCAGTTTAAGGAAGCGATAAAGAGCGTTGAACCCTGT